GCTATTTATAGGAACTTAATCATCCCTCTGTAAAGATCCCACCTGGTGTCTCCTGTGAAAGTCGAAAGCAGAACAGGACAGCAGATGGAACAGATGGAAGAGCCGATCCCTCTTGTCCTAAGTCCCTAGAAATGACTAAACATTTCTAGGTATAAGGGTATGTCTATAATCTAAGATCATGAGTAAACAAAAAGGGTTATGCTTGCTGAACCAGAAAGTATGAACGGAAGAAGACATATAAGAATGACTTAAAAATGACAACACCATGGTTCAGAGGCATTGAAAGACAGGGAAGACTCTTGAGCCATTCAAGACACACAGCTGGGGCTGGGAAGTTGGTTCAATGGTAGAGTGCTTGCCTTGCATGCATGAAGCCCTGGGTTCGATTCTTCAGGACCACATAAGCAGAAAAAAGCCAGAAGTGGCACTGTGTCTCAAGTGGTAGGGCCCTAGCCTTGAGCTGAAGAGCTGAGGGACAGCACCCAGCCCAGAGTTCAGCCCCCCAAGACTGACCAAAAAAAATAAAGACACAGTTGGTGGGGAGGTGGAAGCCAGGATTTTAAGGGGGGAAAAAAATCAACTCATGTCCACCTGCTGTTACAAATCCCATCTCTCATATTTTTCACACTCTGAGTCAGAGAGAAAGCCACAAGAGAGGTAATGCTGCTACCCTGGCTAGCTATAACCCAGGGAATCACCAGACAATAGAAGCATTTGTAGAAATTAAATTAAGGGTTCTCCCTCACACCAAAATATATTATGCATGGGTTAAAAACCTAGATTAGCAGTTTTGATGGTGAGTCAGTAAGAAAGATTAAAGAAAAAGATAAAGGGTAAAAGGTGACTCTATCAAAGGCTTCAAGACATCTACTGCAATGAATAAATTAGCTGTTGAGAAATTCAAGCAAGCCACAAACAGGAAGTAGCTATTTGCAACATTCATAACAGCTTAACAGAATACAAAGAGAAGCATTATCATGGGGAAAAGGGACTGTAGGTAACTAATTCCAAAGATAATGGTAAATAAATACATGATTGTACAGTTTATTAATAAATCCTGCTAGCACATATTAGAAGAAGGACAATACTATCTTTGTGTCTGATTTTCTAACTGTTGGCTAGGGCTGGAGCTGACAGCTTCACTCCCATCAGAGACTGCTGTGTTACAAAATGCACAGCCAATAACTAAGATTTAGGATATGTATAGCCTTCCATCCGCAATTGTGTGCTAAGCATTCCCCTTAGGAATTGTCTGACCCACATACCCAGAGAGGGACATATGAGGCTATTAATTGTAGGATTGTTTGCTTTAACTCCAAATTAGAAACAACACCAAGAGTTCATCAACGAGAATATTTTTATTTAAAAAAGAGGGGCTATTCATTCTGGGAATACATGAAAAGTTTCCTAAGATACTGTGAATTGAAAAACAAGTTGCAGAATGTTAAAAATTACATGATGTTTAGGATGTCAATGGCTCATGTCTGAAATCCTAGCTTCTCAGGAGTCTGAGATCTGTGGATTGAGGTTTAAAGCCAGCCTGGACAGACAAATAAACATCTCTTATTTCCATTTAACCAGCAAAAGGCTCGAAGTGTGTGGCTCAAGTGGTAGAATGCCAGTCTTGAGGAAAAAGCCAAGAGAGAGTGCAAGGCTCTGAAGTTAAGCCCCAGTACCAGTATAACAATAACTAAATAACACAATGACAGAATACAGACACACATTTTTAAAAAATGAAATCTTCTCACAGGTCTGAATGTGCAGTCATTTAAAAAAAAAGAAAGAAAAGATCAGAGAACAAAGCAAAAAGCTGTTTGCTGCCCTCAGATGAGTCTGGACAAAGAACTAGGATTGAGGTCAACAGAGGGTGTGGTTTAAGGTTGTATTGCTTTAAGGGGGTTTCTTGCTACACTGCTTTACTGTATTAACTGTATTTAATTAATTTATTAATTAATTAAATCAATAAATAAAATAAGTAGTAAAATAAAAGGAGTAGTAAGGCTCCATCACTGAAAATCCTTTTTTTTTTCCATTCCTTTTTTAAATGTATGTTTCTCTTTCTCCCTTCCCCTAAGCTCTTGTTTTCAGAATACAAGAGCTTGGAGAACTATCTTGAACCTCTTTGATCTGAATTAGCAGAGACTGGCTTTATTATTATACTAACTTTGGCCCAGAAGTAGGGTATCATGTTGTAAGGCAAAGGTCTATTTTATGTTATATTCTAGCAGGATAGGTGTTTGTGAGCTTTTACACTGATCCTTTTTTTTTCTTTAGCCAGGCTTCAAAACTGTAGTGCAGATTCTTGTCATCCACATAGTTTTCATGGCAAAAACTTCCTGCTCTAGTTTCTGGCAAAAGTCCAAAGAAAAATTCTATCTTAAGGCTGACAACCTCTTCAGTGCCCAGGCTAGGCAGAAGCCCTGTCTCATCCATGGTTTAGAAATAAACTCATCCTTTTCACACAATCTATATTTACATTAGGAAAAGCATGGAACTTTAAAATATTAATATTCAAAATCTCATTTTTTGCTACTTATATTCAATAAGACTTACAGAGCAAACAATAAGCAGAAAGAATTTGCAAAATAAGTCCAGGGCTGGTACTAAGTATGAACATTTATCTCTAAAAGTGATATTCATATTTATCTGTTTCCACGAACCCCAAACATTCTGTCAATGTTTCACCAAAGCACATTTCTTCCACCTAAAAAAATGCCTTGCTAGCTCTGGATTTTAATTCTGAAATCTATCATCTGTGTAATCTGTTTTCTTTGTCACCTATCATTTCTACAGTGCCAAATCAAAAGAAAGGTTTGGAAAGGCAATGGATCACTGTCTAGAGAGGGAAAGCCAGTGGATAGGAATCAGTGGCTTGGGTACAAACAAGGTCTGATGCAGCCACCACAAGAGAATGGCATGGAAGAGCTCGTTTTCATTTAATACATTGCAACACTTGTATATCTCTTGTTCAGCTTGTAAGGACAGCTTCAAGCTATAGTGAAAATGACAAAGTTAAAAATGTGGTGAATTTATTTTCCCCCTTAAATCCAATCATCTTTTAGATTCTAAGATATAATGATCATTGACTACAACATAAACATCCAAACTGATAAAGGACTGAGGGATGATTTAGGAATCTAAAAAGTAAGAGGTAAATTTACCATGTCTTGACTGGAATTCTAAGATAAATACCAGGGGTGGGGAGCAGGAAATGTTGAAACAATCCACAGATTAAGGGATTGCTACCCCATTATTTGTTTCAAAACAACATTCTAACCAAAAGGAGAAAAAGATTGTTTAACAAAACTGAAGGAGATTTTTCTATATTTGAAAATAGCCTGAGTTAAAATATTGGGTTCACAGATGCATCAAAGAGTCTTTGGTCCTAAACCTTTTCTTTCTTAGCAAAATAATATTTATGATTGGTCTTGGGGGGGAGGGCTTAACTGACTTGCCATGAATTATTTAAAAGCCCAAAAATATCTTCTGTCGCTTTTATGGAAACTTGATTTACAAGTTGAGAAAATCAAACTGACAGTTTGTTCTCTTGTACAAATACCCAACCTTTAGAAATGCTCTAGGCATTATAAATATATCTTTCACAAATATAAGCTTCAACATAGTTCTTAAAATTAGCCTCTAGGAGGAAAAGAAAAACAAAACAACAAACAAAAAACAGAGAAACAAAACCTCTTTCAGGCCATTGTTTGATACATAACAGCAGGAAACAAAACACAATGTCTAAGCCAAAATGATTAACACACCCAGTGATAAACATGAAAGTTAAGTATAAAATCTTACTCAGCATCACTTTTGACATTAGCACAGAGTCAGTGTTTTTAATTCCTATGTCTATGGCCACAGATGGCTCTAGGACACATTGACAGTAGCTAGAAAGTACAAACACCAGGACCTCAAGGCTGAAATTTGCACTTGGAGAGATGTGTAAACAGGCTGACCATTCAGGAGGAGAGCAGACATTACATTTCAGACACAGAGTTTCTACCAGGATTCACACCCCACCTCACCATGCTGTACAAGGCTAGTTGCACATCCATGCTCATACATGTAACTGGAGTTGCCCAAGACGTTCCTGTAAGACTATTCCAGAAACTGTGATACCAGGATCTGATGCAGAATTTTAAAGCTTAGACCTCAGATCCCTTCTGCAATAATTAGGGAGGTCTCAGCTATTCAGTACTCTTCAATTGCTAGTCTGACTTCAAAATGTATTTAGTACTCTCAGTAAACTCTGTCCTACCTCTGCAGACATGTTAAAGGACCAATGTATTGTACATTCTGAACCTCTCAGGTTCCAGTGTACAACTCTGACAATAATAACCACTTTCTATGAATGTTCTTTTCTAACTGCCCATTAAACATCAAAGACATCTTAGGATCTATCTTCTTTTTAAATAATTCAGTAGAGAATCATCAATGGCTTCATAATAAATGAGATACTAAATTCACAGTTTGGTGGGCAGAAAGCTAATTTGGGAAGATACTTTAAAATGGAGGGAAATGTTAAAGGAATCTTCACCTTGATTTTCTAATAAGAGTAATGTTATCAAGGTCTAATTCCTGTTGATTCCGGGAGAAACTTAGTGAACATACAGGAGAGAGAAGAGAGAAAGAAAAAGCCAAAGTCATGGTCTCAAAGGACTTTCCTTACGATTTTTCTGCATTTCTTATGGATGAAGGTTTAAATCAGTAACATTTCTTAATTATGTTCTACACTAAATGTCATTCACGTGCTCATGGTTTTCATCCTGAACGTAAACCACCAATTTGCTCTAGGGTTTAGTGAATCCAATATGTCCAACTGGCATGCATGAAAAGTCCTAAGACATTTGCCTTTTGATTTTCTTTCAAAGCAGGATCTTTAAATAAATTGCAAAAAAAATTCATCTGGGAATTAAATATATGTATATTATTCAGTAAATACTTTGCAAATCAGTAATTAACTGGAAAGTGTAAGAAAAATGTATCTAATTTCTTACCTTATTTTGATCTGTCCAGTAAAAGAAAAATCCCTGAGGGTCAGTCCTCAAAATAATTGGTGTAACAATAGTAGAGTCCTAAAGATGCAAAATTAAAAAAAAAAATACATCAGTACATATTGCTATGGAAAGTCCTTCCCAGAAGTTACTGAAGTAATCATTAGTAAGAGATTCTCTACTGTCATCAATTATTAAGAAAATGTTTCCCAGGGGCTGGAGGCTGAGATCTGAGGACCCCAATTCAAAGCGAGTAGGGGCAGGAAAGTCCATGACATTCTTATTCCAATTAACCACCAGGAAACACCAGGAAGTGGCATTGTGGTTCAAAGTAGAGCACTAGCCTTGAGCAAAAGAGCTCAGGGACAGCACCCAGGACCCAAGTTCAAGCCCCATGACTGACAAGAAAATGAAGACAGAAAGAAGGAGACAGACGGATAGAAAGGAAAAAAGGAAGGAAGGAAGAAATAAAGAAAGGAAGGAAGAAAGGAAGGAAATGTTCAAAAACAAATCATACATTGCATCTTTTATTTTTACAGAAATATTGGCAATGAAACTTATGTCCTTTACTAATATTCAGATTATTTTACATAACTGATAAAGAAGAAGGTTAGTGGTGTATTTATTGATTAAAACAAGTTTTTAAGGTTTGCTATGGGTTCCATTGAAAAGGTCTATCTATAGTAATTAGACATAAATATAAAATAAAGACTGTCTGGGAGGGGATCACGGGAAGGAGGAGAGGATGATAGTGATACTGAAGGGCAAAGAAGATCAAAAGACATTGCACAGGCATACATAAATAGATGGATGGGTAGATAGATAGACAGAACATTGAAACCCACCAAATTCTACTTGAAAATGAAGGGAAGGAGAGAGGAATGGGAAAAATTGGAAGGGTTGTGCTGGGTCAAAGTTCATTTGCATGAATTTATGTAAATATCACAATAAAACGCCATCATACCAGAAATGTGTGTTAATTCAAAAATATAATAAGAATAATAAAAAGCCATATTTGGTTTCCTAAATAATTTTAACACTAACCATATTACATATTTTACATGATTAAAGTTCATTAAAATCCATCCTTGAGGATATTTAAATTACATTTGCTCCATAAAATAAATTTTAATTGTATGAAAGCAAGGAAGCACAGCATTTGGGCACTGCTGTTTCCAAGGTAACAGTAAATAAGGCCATCTTCAACATATTTGGAAAGATCTAGCCAAATTGTTGCAAGTTTAAGTTTCACAGGCTAAAATAAGACATCCTAGACTAGCAGACTGAGGTTAAAGCCTACACTTTGTAAAACAAAATTACATTCAGTGTGATTTTAATATCAAACATTTTTTAAACATGTGTTCTTTCTTTTGGGCAACTTTCAGAAAGGCATACCATCTGCACAGGAAAATGCATGACACCATGTCGCCAAAGGTGGATTCCTGTACCAAAATACGCAGGCCATTGCAGGAACTCTATTTTATAAAGAGATTATAAATTGCTAGGATTCTTTAAACCTTTTCCTATCCATAATAGCTGCAGCTGCATCATAGCCTAATATGTTATTGAAAGAACAACTGAAATGAAATTTTGAACTTGTAGAGATTTCCCCTACCTACTCCCAACCCTCCCCCCCCCCCCACCCCACCCCTACCTCCAGCTGGTAAAGCAGTATAAATGGTTTCAAGCTATCTTGGTAAAGTTTATGCTAAGAACCCAGCTCCTCCAGAGGCTGTCTTCTTGGGATCAAACTCCTACCTCTCCTCTCTCAGAACCTCATTTTATTTATTTATTCTTATTCAGTTACAAGGCGTTGCTATTTAACAAAGCAGTTTATGAGCATATGCACCTGGATCAGTTTCATCCTTTTCACTATTATCATCCCCCCACCCAGCTTTTCCCGTATTCGTCTTAATTTTGTAGTATAGGCAATGAATTCTCCCCATTCCTTTCTTCATTCATCTACCCTATCCTCTTGCTGCCTGCTCTCCTTGCAAGTACCATTTCTTGGTGCTTATTTTGTTGGGCTTTGACTTTGTCATTCTAAGAAATGACAATATCTGAGATCTCCCTAGAGTCTACCATATTTCTGTTAATACACTTGCACATGCCTGCATAGCACCCAACAACATGTTTACCTACAGAGTGATCAGCTAATTCTAGCTACCACAAATGAGGGAAACCATGTAATCTTTGTTTCTCTGGGTCTGGCTTATTTCACTTAATATAATTTTTCCAAGTCTTTCTAAAACCTCATTTTAAACAGCTAAAAAAAGGCTGGAGGGGTCACAGTAGCCATACCCATCTAATGGGGTTGTTGTTAAAATTAACTAGCGTAATTTTAGTAAGATACAAATGCTTGCTACAGGTAGAAGCTTATCATTATTATAACTAGCTATATTTATATTAAATTATAATTAATGTAACTAGCTGCATACATTTATTATAATGAGTTATATTAAATATTAATTGTAGTTTAATCTTGTTATACTTTTTATTTCAAATATAAATATAAAAGGTACATAACAAAATCTATTGTTTTAAAATATTCAGTTCAGAGACATTTATTACATTCACAGTGTTGTGAATCAACTTCCAGAACAATCTTTCAATATTCATCAATCTCCATCTTCCTCTTCTCAAACAATAACTTAGAATCATCTCCCCAACACCCACACACCCCACAAAAGTCACCATCAACTACCTTTAAGAATATGACTATCTTATATAATGCATGTAAGTGAACTGTACAAATTTGTCCTTGTCTGTCTGGCTTTTTTCATAGCATAATGCCCTAAAAGTTCATCCATGTTGTAGCATTATCAAGCAGTCTCCCTTTTCTTTAGGCTGAGTAATGTTTCTTCTTGTGTTTACATTATGTCTTGTGTATCTACTCATCAGTCAATGAACATTTGGATTATTGTCACCTTTTGGCAATTGTGACCAATGATGGTATAAACAATGAATTTTAAATACATCCATAGAATTTGCTTTTAGTCATTTTTGTGTACACAGAGGGAATACTTCTGATTTGTTCTATGCTTAATTATCCTGATCCTAACATACCTTCTCTCCCTCTCCCCTTCCTTCCTTCCTTCCTCCCTCTCTCCTTCCCTTCCCCCCTCTCTCCCTCCCTTCTTTCATTTCTTTCTTCCCTTTTTTTCTTGTAATGCTGGAGTTTGAACTCAAGTCCTTACTCTTACTGGGAAGGTCCTCTACCACTTGATTCATGACCCCAGTCTGTTTGTACATTTCATTATTATTCAGGTAGGGTTTTTGTTTCCCTCCAGGACCAGCTCAGCCCACGAAGCTCCTACCTATAGCCTCCCTCATAGCTGATATGACAGGTCCATACCACCACAACTGGCTTGCTGATTGACATGGAGTCTAACTTTTTGCACAAGTAGTTATCAAGCTGTGATCCTCCCTATATCTGCTTCCCCAAGTAGTTAGGATTACAGATGTGAGCCATTGCAACTGGCACTTACCATACATTCTTAACAGGTAGTTCGAGAAAGAGATTTTTACAAGGATCACGCCATTGCACAGAATTTCAGATAGGATTTATAACCTTCGAGGTTACTTTCAAATGTCAAAAAATTGAGATTCAAATGAAAGAATAGCCCTAAAAATATTTGAAGCTTCTTTTGTGGGCTTCCATGCCTAACAGTTCACAGCAATACGTCCAATAAATCACAGCAACATTTTCAGCTCTGTCTTATCATGTCCTCTAGAAGTGGGCAGATTGAAAGATCTGACAGGCTGCACACAGCACACATTCCCACTTTCAGATCAACTGGAATTAACCTGTAGGTGTAACTTATCATTTTCAGGTCAGCTTCTTCTGTTATCAGGGACCTGACAAGGCACAATTCAAAATCCTCAGTGACAAGTCACTGCAAGGATCCCAAACAATCAAATATTTAAGTGAGCAGAACAAAACTGCTCAGATGTAGATTCTTTTAGAAGAATGCACTAGCCTCCTAATTTGTTTTAGACACTGCTATTTCTAGCTATTTCTTTCTCAAAATTAAACTCCTTTGTTCAATATTTTCTTGACCCTACTCTTCCGGCCCGGTCACAGTTCCTCTGTGAAATGATGATTTATCTCGGCTCCCTGCCTGCTTCTTCCACAATCACCTCTCACATTCCAAGATCAGCTGGAACTTGGCATTCCTGCCACGCAAGGCAGGGTTTGACCCAGAAATACACAAATTCCTATTTTCCATTCCACCTGCTTTTTCCCTACCTCCCACATAGCTGCAAAAGATTCTAGTTTCCCCACACCCAAACAGCCACACAACCCAGATCTCAAGTGTTTTTAATTGTCAGAATAGATGCCCAGGACTAAAGTTTGAAATATGTGGTCATCTTTCATTTCCCCAGGGAACTGCCGACAGGTTATGAGTCAGGGAGCAGAGCACTACAGAATAATGAAGTTTCTCAGAGGGACAATTTTTATTCATGCTCCCTCCTTCAATAATAGAAAGATGTGGCTTCCAGAAGATGGTGGCTTTGAAGTTTTCAAGTTCATTAGCATCACTGAGTTGTTAAAAACAGAGATGTCTGGGCCCCTTTCCTAGAGTCTGTGCCTTTCTAGATCTGGAATGGAATCTGAGAATGTATATTTTTTTTTGCTTGCTTCCTGGTGCTGCAAATCTTCCAAGGTCTTGCACATGCTAGGCAACCACTCTGACTACTGTACTCCATCCCCAGACTGAGAATCTACACTTCTAATATGGTCACAGTGATGGTTAATACTGCTGGTCTTGAGAACCATGGTTGTAAGACTACAATGAGCAAGATGTTGGGGTCAGGAATATAATGAAGTAAAGGTCTTACACCTGTGAGCTCAGAATGTAGGTAAATCCCTATCTTGTAAGTGCATTACTGCCTCTTACTAAGGATTCAACTTTTTATTTATTTTGTAAGATCTTTTCCCCAGTAAACATCTATCTCACACAAAAAGGACAGTAATAAGACATACCAGTCTTGAGTGAATGACATCCAGAAATTTTCCATCTATTAGCCTCTTTCTATGACAGAACCCATTTCACTCACCTCTCTATCTCATCATTGTG